TCGATCTTCTTCTTCGCAGTGAGAGGCTCCTTCGAAATCTGTATTTTATCCGATCGAATCGAACAAATCGCAGACCCAGAAGAAGATACTCCCTTTCGTCGAGAATCTCCGAGTTAAATCGGACGAGTCAGGATCAGAAAAAACGGTGATACGGAAGCTAGTTCTAGGGCTGATGGGCGCCGCGGGCTCCAAACTCGAGAAAGCTCTCGGCGACCAGTTCCCTGAAGGTGAACGATACTTCGGTTTCGAGAATTTCGGCAACACTTGTTACTGCAACAGCGTTTTGCAGGTCCAATTTCTCTCCCTCTCTCTCTGCTTGTGGATTCTCCCAATCTCGAATTCGATGTGTGCGAATCGTTTTTTCCTCTGATGATTTCTTCTGGGTTTGTTGGATTAGTGATGTTTAATCAATAAATATGGAAGATTTCTTCTGGGTTTGTTTGACCTTATTTATGTCATCAAAATTCGTTCCTAAAGGTTGAAATTTGATTAGGGTGCATTACGATTTCTCATTCCCGTAATAGGTTACACTTTTGTAAATCTTTCGAAACTATGATTGAGAAGGCGTTATTAGGTCTAGTGAAAGCAATTTTGAACTTGTTAGATTATCATAGAGTTTAGTGTAAATTCAATTGCAATTGTCTATCTACTCTATTGATTTTTCGATCTCTCTGCGTGCTAATGTGTATGAAGGAGTTCTATTGACTAGAGAAAGGCTTTTGCTGATTAAATTTCATTAGTTTATGTGTTGAATCATTTGCCCTTGTGCATTGTGCAGGCTCTTTACTTTTGTGTTCCCTTTCGTGAACAATTGCTCGAATACTATACCAGTAACAAAAGTGTTGCTGATGCTGAAGAGAATCTTATGACCTGCCTCGCAGACTTATTTTTGCAGGTATTATGATATTTTGGCTTTCCTTTCTTCCTTTTAGTTAGTTTAATTTCCCCTTTCATGTTAGTCATTGTTTCAACCGTGTGTTAACTCAAGTGACCAATCTTTCATTAGCTGAAGTATTTCTCTTTTGCAAGCTTGGTTTTGCTTGATGTCTCTTATTTCAAGGCGCAAGTCAATGTTTTTGGCATGAAAGGAATTTGATACTGTTGTGTATTTTGTTAGGTACCTTCGATAATTTTAATGTTCTTGATGTAGCACTTAGTATGTTATATCCTGTCATCATCTATTTGATTATCATGTGCTAGTCATTTCTTCGGAGAAAAGTGATACCATAAGTCTCATTCTGTAGATAAGTTCCCAGAAGAAGAAAACAGGTGTTATTGCGCCTAAGAGATTTGTACAGAGGTTGAAGAAACAGAATGAGCTGTTCCGGAGTTATATGCACCAGGTGATCTTCGCGAACTTCGTCATTTTTCCGAGTGTAATTTTACTAAAGATGTGAGAAAAGCAATACATATATTTTATTGAATTGGTGTTACTGTTCTCATGTAGGATGCACATGAATTCCTGAACTATTTGCTGAATGAAGTTGTTGACATACTGGAGAAAGAGGCAAAAGCTACAAAAACCGAACATGAAACCTCATCATCATCATCTCCCGAAAAGATTGCAAATGGACCAAAAGCTCCTCTGGCCAATGGGGTGCATAAAGAGCCTATTGTTACTTGGGTGCACAATATCTTTCAGGTAAGTTCTCTTTAATGGAAAGATATAACTTTTCCCTCTACGGTGTGATTAGTTATTGTAATTTTTGGCTAAATTTCAATTTCGTGTATGTTTGTACACAGGGCATTCTTACCAACGAGACAAGGTGCCTGCGGTGTGAAACAGTGACAGCAAGAGACGAAACATTCCTAGACCTGAGCCTTGACATTGAACAGAACAGTTCGATAACTAGCTGTTTGAAAAACTTCAGCTCCACAGAGACGCTTCACGCTGAAGACAAATTCTTCTGTGACAAATGCTGCAGGTAAAATGTTAATTCTTAGTCTCACCCCAATCTCTTTTCAAAGTTAAATTCCTCAGCTTTCCTTTAGTAGCTGCCACTAAATACTAGTGGTTAAGATCCCTTTGTTCCTTCAGTGGCTACTTTATATGATTATGGGCTCCAAAGTGTTAAGACTTTAGTATGGCAATGAGACTATCTTAGAGATAACCAAAGCTTGATTCTTATATTTTAATTGCAGCTTACAAGAAGCACAAAAGAGGATGAAGATCAAGAAGCCACCACACATTTTAGTCATCCATCTAAAACGATTCAAATACATTGAACAGCTAGGCCGTTACAAGAAGCTCTCATACCGGGTTGTATTTCCTTTGGAGCTAAAACTGAGCAACACGGTGGAACCATACGCAGACATCGAATACTCTCTCTTCGCAGTGGTGGTTCATGTCGGAAGTGGACCCAACCATGGCCATTACGTAAGCCTTGTGAAAAGCCACAACCATTGGCTCTTCTTCGACGATGAGAATGTCGAAATGATTGAAGAATCAGCTGTTCAAACATTCTTTGGATCGTCTCAAGAGTATTCGAGCAATACTGATCATGGTTACATCTTGTTCTATGAGAGCCTTGGACCAACAAAGTAAAAGCTGAGAAAGCAGAGAAAAATACTTTCTTCTTCTCTTTCTTTTTTCTTAACTACTAGTAATGGTATATGTTTGTCTCTGAACTTAAAAGTTGACAGTAACATTTTTTTTTTCTTGGTTTGTCTTTCTCTCTGCCAAAGATAATATTTTGGTGAGTTTAAATTGGAAAAGTTTTAACTGAAATTTGTATACTTTTGAAAAGGTCATGTACAGTTTTAATGGCAAATAAACATCAAATTTTTGTTTACTTATATTAGTGTTGATGATTTGATGGGATCTGAAGTGTGTTACGGCCCATTAACTTTAATTGGGCCGATAATGAAATTAGGCCCAGTGTTAAACACTTTGTCGTGAGAATAAAGTTATATCTAAACAAAAAGTAGAAACAACATAAATAAATCCAAAAGATAGTTCACGGGAGAAGTTGACGAAGAAGATACAGACACAAAATGGGATCACCCGTGAGCTTCTACGTCATTTTCGTTATGTTGTTTTCCAAAACATTAATACTTTCACATTGTAAATTTCTTCAAGATTTTGAAATATTCAATAATTATTAAGAAACTTTTCAAAATACAATGACATATTTATTGATAACTTATAGTCTTTTTTTTTTTTTTTGAAACTAACTTATAGTCTTAGAACGTAAGTTTACATAAAATTAGAATTCGATTTGTAACAATCGGAATTACGCGTAAACCAGTTTCGTGTTTTGGATTTCGACACGGTATTCGTAACATGATGGATCGGTAAATCGAAATGGTTTGGTCATCTATCGGATTAGTCAGATTAGATTCGGATGTTATAATTACATTCGAGCAAAAATAAAAAGAAATGAATATATGAGATGGGTGGATTTTATATGGTTGGTTTAATGTCTCTCGATTCTTGTATACCATTTATCACATTGTTTCCCAAAATATATATAAAATGGTTATATGGACAGCTCATAAAATAGTAAATTATAACTATGAATTTATGACTACTAGTAGTATTTTGTTACAAATATGCAGACGGAAATTTAAAGTAGAGACATACATTTATTGTCAGAGTAGTTAAAAACTTAAAATAAATGTCATTATGTTGTTGATCGATCCCATATGGTTTATCTATAGATTAAAGGATGATTATGAAATCTCTCTGTAATGAAAGTAAAAGGGTATTTTGGGAATTTAAAGGAGGCGAAGAATTAGGATTTGTCGTTACGCTTTGTTTTAATGTCGCAATC